CGATGTTGATTGGGATGACGATGTTGATGATGATGATGATGATGACGATGTTTATGGCAGTTGAGATGACGATGTTGATGACGGTTGAGATGACGATGTTGATGACGGTTGAGATGACGATGTTGATTGGGATGACGATGTTGATGACGATGTTGATGACGATTGGGATGACGATGTTGATGACGGTTGAGATGACGATGTTGATTGGGATGACAATGTTGATTACGATGTTGATGACGATTGGGATGACGATGTTGATGACGGTTGAGATGACGATGTTGATTGGGATGACGATGTTGATGACCATGTTGATGACGGTTGAGATGACGATGTTGATGACGATTGAGATGACGATGTTGATGACGGTTGAGATGATGATGTTGATGACGATTGGGATGACGATGTTGATGACGGTTGAGATGACGATGTTGATGACGATTGAGATGACGATGTGATGACGATTGAGATGACGATGTTGATGACGGTTGAGATGACGATGTTGATGGCGGTTGAGATGACGATGTTGATGACGATGTTGATGACGATGTTGATGGCGGTTGAGATGACGATGTTGATGACGGTTGAGATGACGATGTTGATGACGATTGAGATGACGATGTTGATTGGGATGACGATGTTGATGATGATGATGACGATGTTGATGGCGGTTGAGATGACGATGTTGATGACGGTTGAGATGACGATGTTGATTGGGATGACGATGTTGATGACGATGTTGATGACGATTGGGATGACGATGTTGATGACGATTGAGATGACGATGTTGATGACAATGTTGAGATGATGATGTTGATGACGATTAGGATGACGATGTTGATGACGGTTGAGATGACGATGTTGATGACGATTGGGATGACGATGTTGTTGACGGTTGAGATGACGATGTTGATGACGATTGGGATGACGATGTTGATGACGATTGAGATGATGATGTTGATGGCGATTGAGATGACGATGTTGATGACGGTTGAGATTACGATGTTGATGACGGTTGAGATGACGATGTTGATGACGATGTTGATGACGATGTTGATGGCGGTTGAGATGACGATGTTGATGACGGTTGAGATGACGATATTGATGATGATTGAGATGACGATGTTGATTGGGATGACGATGTTGATGATGATGATGATGATGACGATGTTGATGGCAGTTGAGATGACGATGTTGATGACGGTTGAGATGACGATGTTGATGACGGTTGAGATGACGATGTTGATTGGGATGACGATGTTGATGACAGTTGAGATGACGATGTTGATGACGATTGGGATGGCGATGTTGATGACGATTGAGATGACGATGTTGATGACGATTGGGATGACGATGTTGATGACGGTTGAGATGACGATGTTGATGACGATTGGGATGACGATGTTGATGACGATTGAGATGACGATGTTGATGGCGATTGAGATGACGATGTTGATGACGGTTTGAGTGATGATGATGTTGATGACGATGTTGATGGCGGTTGAGATGACGATGTTGATGACGGTTGAGATGACGATGTTGATGATGATTGAGATGACGATGTTGATTGGGATGACGATGTTGATGATGATGATGATGATGACGATGTTGATTGCGTTTGAGATGACGATGTTGATGACGGTTGAGATGACGATGTTGATGACGGTTGAGATGACGATGTTGATTGGGATGACGATGTTGATGACGATGTTGATGACGATTGGAATGACGATGTTGATGACGGTTGAGATGACGATGTTGATTGGATGACGATGTTGATTACGATGTTGATGACGATTGGGATGACGATGTTGATGATGGTTGAGATGACGATGTTGATTGGGATGACGATGTTGATGACGATGTTGATGACGGTTGAGATGATGATGTTGATGACGATTGAGATGACGATGTTGATGATGGTTGAGATGATGATGTTGATGACGATTGGGATGACGATGTTGATGACGGTTGAGATGACGATGTTGATGACGATTGGGATGACGATGTTGATGACCATTGAGATGACGATGTTGATGACGGTTGAGATGACGATGTTGATAGCGGTTGAGATGACGATGTTGATGATGATGATGGTTGGTATGATGATGTTGATGATGAAGATGGTTGTGATGACGATGTTGAGGATAGTTGAGTGATGATGATGTTGATGATGATGTTGGGATGATGTTGATGATTGCAATGTTGATTGGGATGACGATGTTGATGACGATGTTGATGACGGTGGAGATGACGATGTTGATGATGATCGTTGGGATGATGTTTGATGATGACGATGTTGATTGGGATGACGATGTTGATGACGATGTTGATGATGATCGTTGGGATGATGTTGATGATGATGATGACGATGTTGATTGGGATGACGATGTTGATGACGATGTTGCTGACGGTTGGGATGACGATGTTGATGATGATCGTTGGGATAATGATGATGATGACGATCTTGATTGGGATGACGATGTTGATAATAATTGGGATGACGATGTTGATGACGGTTTGGATGACGATTTTGATGATGATCGTTGGGATGCTGTTGATGATGATGATGATGACGATGTTGATTGGGATGACGATGTTGATGATAATTGGGATGACGATGTTGATGATGGTTGGGATGACGATGTTGATGACCATCGTTGGGATGATGTTGATGATCATGATGATGATGACGATGTTGATTGGGATGACGATGTTGATGATGATTGACATGACGATGTTGATGATGATCGTTGGGATGATGTTGATGATGACGATGATGATGACGATGTTGATTGGGATGACGATGTTGATGACGGTTGGGATGACGATGTTGATGATGGTTGAGATGACGATGTTGATGATGATCGTTGGGATGATGTTGATGATGATGATGATGACGATGTTGATTGGGATGACGATGTTGATGATGGTTGGGATGACGATGTTGATGATGATCGTTGGGATGATGATGATGATGACGATGTTGATTGGGATGACGATGTTGATGACGGTTGAGATGATGATGATGATGACGATGGGATGACGATGTTGATGATGATCGCTGGGATGATGTTGATGATGACGATGTTGATTGGGATGACGATGTTGATGACGATGTTGATGATGATCGTTGGGATGATGTTGATGATGATGATGACGATGTTGATTGGGATGACGATGTTGATGACGATGTTGCTGACGGTTGGGATGACGATGTTGATGATGATCGTTGGGATAATGATGATGATGACGATCTTGATTGGGATGACGATGTTGATAATGATTGGGATGACGATGTTGATGACGGTTTGGATGACGATTTTGATGATGATCGTTGGGATGCTGTTGATGATGACGATGTTGATTGGGATGACGATGTTGATGATAATTGGGATGACGATGTTGATGATGGTTGGGATGACGATGTTGATGACCATCGTTGGGATGATGTTGATGATCATGATGATGATGACGATGTTGATTGGGATGACGATGTTGATGATGATTGACATGACGATGTTGATGATGATCGTTGGGATGATGTTGATGATGACGATGATGATGACGATGTTGATTGGGATGACGATGTTGATGACGGTTGATATGACGATGTTGATGACGGTTGAGATGACGATGTTGATGATGATCGTTGGGATGATGTTGATGATGATGATGACGATGTTGATTGGGATGACGATGTTGATGATGGTTGGATGACGATGTTGATGATGATCGTTGGGATGATGATGATGATGACGATGTTGATTGGGATGACGATGTTGATGACGGTTGAGATGATGATGTTGATGACGATTGGGATGACGATGTTGATGATGATCGCTGGGATGATGTTGATGATGATGACGATGTTGATTGGGATGACGATGTTGATGACGGTTGGGATGACGATGTTGATGATGATGATGACGATGTTGATGATGATGATGACGATTGTTGATTGGGATGACGATGTTGATGACGATTGGGATGACGATGATGATGACGGTTGAGATGACGATGTTGATGACGATGTTGATGACGATGTTGATGACGATTGGGATGACGATGTTGATGACGATTGAGATGACGATGTTGATGACGATGTTGAGATGATGATGTTGATGACGATTGGGATGACGATGTTGATGACGGTTGAGATGACGATGTTGATGACGATTGGGATGACGATGTTGTTGACGGTTGAGATGACGATGTTGATGACGATTGGGATGACGATGTTGATGACGATTGAGATGATGATGTTGATGGCGATTGAGATGACGATGTTGATGACGGTTGAGATTACGATGTTGATGACGGTTGAGATGACGATGTTGATGACGATGTTGATGACGATGTTGATGGCGGTTGAGATGACGATGTTGATGACGGTTGAGATGACGATATTGATGATGATTGAGATGACGATGTTGATTGGGATGACGATGTTGATGATGATGATGATGACGATGTTGATGGCAGTTGAGATGACGATGTTGATGACGGTTGAGATGACGATGTTGATGACGGTTGAGATGACGATGTTGATTGGGATGACGATGTTGATGACGGTTGAGATGACGATGTTGATGACGATTGGGATGGCGATGTTGATGACGATTGAGATGACGATGTTGATGACGGTTGAGATGACGATGTTGATGACGATGTTGATGGCGGTTGAGATGACGATGTTGATGACGATGTTGATGACGATGTTGATGGCGGTTGAGATGACGATGTTGATGACGGTTGAGATGACGATGTTGATGACGATTGAGATGACGATGTTGATTGGGATGACGATGTTGATGATGATGATGACGATGTTGATGGCGGTTGAGATGACGATGTTGATGACGGTTGAGATGACGATGTTGATTGGGATGACGATGTTGATGACGATGTTGATGACGATTGGGATGACGATGTTGATGACGATTGAGATGACGATGTTGATGACGATGTTGATGACGATGTTGATGCAACCGTTGTTTGACCTTGCGCCGAAGCTGTTGCCGTAAGTCCAGCTGTCGCGGGTGGTCCAGATCTTGTTGTCGATAGTCGCGTTGTTGTTGTTGTTGATGTTGTTGTTGCTGTTGCTGTTGTTGTTGCTGTTGTTGTTGTTGTAGTTGTTGTTGCTGTTGTTGTTGGTGTTGTTGTTGCTGTTGTTGTTGATGTTGCTGTTGTTGTTGGTGTTGTTGTTGCTGTTGTTGTTGTTGTTGCTGTTGTTGTTGTTGTTGTTACTGTTGTTGTTGTTGATGTTGTTGTTGTTTCGTTGGCTCCAGCTCCGGTTGTCGATGCTGCGGTGACGGCGGCGGCTCTGGTCGTGCGGACAACCGCTGTCGTGGTCGCAGCGACTGTCCGTGGTAGCGGGGCTGTCGATGGCCGGGTCGTGTTCACAAGGGGGTATGATGGTGACGTTCGTGGTGATGTGATTTGTGGTTGGGGTGTTGGTGGGAAGGGTGGCGTTGTTGGAGGTGATGATGTCGATGGTTGGGGTGATGTGATTTGTGGTTGGGGTGTTGGTGGGAAGGGTGTTGTTGTTGGAGGTGATGATGCAGATGGTTGGGGTGATGTGATTTGTGGTTGGGGTGTTCGTGGGAAGGGTGTTGTTGTTGGAGGTGATGATGCAGATGGTTGGGGTGATGTGATTTGTGGTTGGGGTGTTGGTGGGAAGGGTGTCGTTGTTGGAGGTGATGATGCAGATGGTTGGGGTGATGTGGTGTAGAGTTGGGGTGTTGATGGGAAGGGTGTCGTTGTTGAAGGTGATGATGTAGATGTTTGTGGTAATGAGGTGTGTGGTTGGGGTGTTGGTGGGAAGGGTGTCGTTGTTGGAGGTGACGATGTAGATGTTTGTGGTGATGTGATTTGTGGTTGGGGTGTTGATGAGAAGGGTGTCGTTGTTGGAGGTGATGTTGTAGATGTTTGTGGTGATGTGGTGTGTGGTTGGGGTGTTGGTGGGAAGGGTGTTGTTGTTGGAGGTGATGATGCAGATCGTTGGGGTGATGTGGTGTAGAGTTGGGGTGTTGATGAGAAGGGTGTCGTTGTTGGAGGAGATGTTGTAGATGTTTGTGGTGATATAGATGTTTGTGGTGATGTGGTGTAGAGTTGGGGTGTTGATGGGAAGGGTGTCGTTGTTGGAGGTGATGATGCAGATGGTTGGGGTGATGTGATTTGTGGTTGGGGTGTTGATGGGAAGGGTGTCGTTGTTGGAGGTGATGATGCAGATGGTTGGGGTGATGTGGTGTAGAGTTGGGGTGTTGATGGGAAGGGTGTCGTTGTTGGAGGTGATGATGCAGATGGTTGGGGTGATGTGATTTGTGGTTGGGGTGTTGGTGGGAAGGGTGTCGTTGTTGGAGGTGATGTTGTAGATGTTTGTGGTGATGTGGTGTACAGTTGGGGTGATGATGGGAATGGTGTCGTTGTTGGAGGTGATGATGCAGGTGTTTGTGGTGATGTGATTTGTGGTTGGGGTGTTGGTGGGAAGGGTGTCGTTGATGGAGGTGATGATGTAGGTGTTTGTGGTGATGTCGTGTAGAGTTGGGGTGTTGGTGGGAAGGGTGTCGTTGTTGGAGGTGATGATGCAGATGGTTGGGGTGATGTGGTGTAGAGTTGGGGTGTTGATGGGAAGGGTGTCGTTGTTGGAGGTGATGATGCAGATCGTTGGGGTGATGTCGTGTAGAGTTGGGGTGTTGATGAGAAGGGTGTCGTTGTTGCAGGTGATGATGCAGATGGTTGGGGTGATGTGATTTGTGGTTGGGGTGTTGGTGGGAAGGGTGTCGTTGTTGGAGGTGATGTTGTAGATGTTTGTGGTGATGTGGTGTACAGTTGGGGTGTTGATGGGAATGGTGTCGTTGTTGGAGGTGATGATGCAGGTGTTTGTGGTGATGTGGTGTACAGTTGGGGTGTTGATAGGAAGAGTGTTGTTGTTGGAGGTGATGATGCAGATGGTTGGGGTGATGTGATTTGTGGTTGGGGTGTTGATGGGAAGGGTGTCGTTGTTGGAGGTGATGATGTAGATGTTTGTGGTGATGTGATTTGTGGTTGGGGTGTTGATGAGAAGGGTGTCGTTGTTGGAGGTGATGTTGTAGATGTTTGTGGTGATGTGGTGTGTGGTTGGGGTGTTGGTGGGAAGGGTGTTGTTGTTGGAGGTGATGATGCAGATCGTTGGGGTGATGTGGTGTAGAGTTGGGGTGTTGATGAGAAGGGTGTCGTTGTTGGAGGAGATGTTGTAGATGTTTGTGGTGATATAGATGTTTGTGGTGATGTGGTGTAGAGTTGGGGTGTTGGTGGGAAGGGTGTCGTTGTTGGAGGTGATGATGTAGGTGTTTGTGGTGATGTGGTGTAGAGTTGGGGTGTTGATGGGAAGAGTGTCGTTGTTGGAGGTGATGATGCAGATGGTTGGGGTGATGTGATTTGTGGTTGGGGTGTTGGTGGGAAGGGTGTCGTTGATGGAGGTGATGATGTAGGTGTTTGTGGTGATGTCGTGTAGAGTTGGGGTGTTGGTGGGAAGGGTGTCGTTGTTGGAGGTGATGATGCAGATGGTTGGGGTGATGTGGTGTAGAGTTGGGGTGTTGATGGGAAGGGTGTCGTTGTTGGAGGTGATGATGCAGATCGTTGGGGTGATGTCGTGTAGAGTTGGGGTGTTGATGAGAAGGGTGTCGTTGTTGCAGGTGATGATGCAGATGGTTGGGGTGATGTGATTTGTGGTTGGGGTGTTGGTAGGAAGGGTGTCGTTGTTGGAGGTGATGTTGTAGATGTTTGTGGTGATGTGGTGTACAGTTGGGGTGTTGATGGGAATGGTGTCGTTGTTGGAGGTGATGATGCAGGTGTTTGTGGTGATGTGGTGTACAGTTGGGGTGTTGATAGGAAGAGTGTTGTTGTTGGAGGTGATGATGCAGATGGTTGGGGTGATGTGGTGTAGAGTTGGGGTGTTGATGGGAAGGGTGTCGTTGTTGGAGGTGATGATGCAGATCGTTGGGGTGATGTCGTGTAGAGTTGGGGTGTTGATGAGAAGGGTGTCGTTGTTGCAGGTGATGATGCAGATGGTTGGGGTGATGTGATTTGTGGTTGGGGTGTTGGTAGGAAGGGTGTCGTTGTTGGAGGTGATGTTGTAGATGTTTGTGGTGATGTGGTGTACAGTTGGGGTGTTGATGGGAATGGTGTCGTTGTTGGAGGTGATGATGCAGGTGTTTGTGGTGATGTGGTGTACAGTTGGGGTGTTGATAGGAAGAGTGTTGTTGTTGGAGGTGATGATGCAGATGGTTGGGGTGATGTGATTTGTGGTTGGGGTGTTGATGGGAAGGGTGTCGTTGTTGGAGGTGATGATGTAGATGTTTGTGGTGATGTGATGTGTGGTTGGGGTGTTGATGAGAAGGGTGTTGTTGTTGGAGGTGATGATGTAGATTTTTGTGGTGATGTAGTGTAGAGTTGGGGTGTTGGTGGGAAGGGTGTCGTTGTTGGAGGTGATGATGTAGATGTTTGTGGTGATGTGATTTGCGGTTGGGGTGTTGATGGGAAGGGTGTCGTTGTTGGAGGTGGTGGTGTTGTTGTATTTATTGTTGAATGCGGTGTTGATGGTGTAGGTTGTGCTGTTGTAAGTGGTGTTGTTGATGAAAGTGGTGTTGTTGTTGTAGGTGGTGGTGTTGTTGAAGGTGGTGGTGTTGTAGATGTTGTTGAAGGTGCTGGTGTTGTAGGTGATGGTGTTGTTGGTGTTGTTGTAGGTGATGGTGTTGTAGGTGTTGTTGTAGGTAGTGTTGTTGTTGTAGGTGATGGTGTTGTAAGTGGTGGTGTTGTTGTTGAAGGTGTAGGTGATGGTGTTGTTGTAGGTGTTGTTGTATTTGTTGTTATGGAAGGTGGTATTGTTGTTGTAGGTGATGGTGTTGTTGTAGGTGTTGTTGTAGGTGATGGTGTTGTAGGTGTTGTTGATGAAAGTGGTGTTGTTGTTGTAGGTAGTGGTGTTGTTGTAGGTGGTAGTGTTGTTGTAGGTGTTGTTGTAGGTAGTGTTGTAGGTGATGGTGTTGTAGGTGTTGTTGTATTTGTTGTTGTGGAAGGTGGTATTGTTGTTGTAGGTGATGGTGTTGTTGATGAAAGTGGTGTTGTTGTAGGTAGTGTTGTTGTTCTTGTAGGTGATGGTGTTGTAGGTGTTGTAAGGGTTGTTGTTGGTGGTGTTGTTGAAGGTGTAGGTGATGGTGTTGTAGGTGTTGTAAGGGTTGATGTTGGTGGTCTTGTTGTTGTATTTGTTGTTGAAGGTGTAGGTGATGGTGTTGTAGGTGTTGTTGTAGGTGTTGTTGTATTTGTTGTTGTGGAAGGTGGTATGGTTGTTGTAGGTGATGGTGTTGTTGTAGGCGATGGTGTTGTTGTAGGTAGTGGTGTTGTTGTAGGTGATGGTGTTGTAGGTGTTGTTGATGAAAGTGTTGTTGTTGTAAGTGGTGGTGTTGTAGGTGGTGGTTTTGTTGTTGAAGGTGTAGGTGATGGAGTTGTAGGTGTTGTTGTATTTGTTGTTATGGAAGGTGGTATTGTTGTTGTAGGTGATGGTGCTGTTGTAGGTGTTGTTGATGAAAGTGGTGTTGTTGTTGTAGGTAGTGGTGTTGTTGTAGGCGATAGTGTTGTAGATGCTGTTGTAGGTGTTGTTGAAGGTGTTGGTGTTGTTGTTGCAGGTGATGGTGTTGTAGGTAGTGGTGTTGTTGTAGGTGATGGTGTTGTTGTAGGTGTTGTTGCATTTGTTGTTGTGGAAGGTGGTGTTGTTGTTGTAGGTGATGGTGTTGTAGGTGTTGTTGTTGTAGGTGATGGTGTTGTAGGTGTTGTTGTAGGTAGTGTTGTTGTAGGTGTTGTTGTTGTAGGTGTTGTATTTGTTGTAGGTAGTGTTGTTGTTGTAGGTGTTGTTGTTGTAGGTGATGGTGTTGTATTTGTTGTAGGTAGTGTTGTTGTAGGTGATGGTGTTGTAGGTGTTGTTGATGAAAGTGTTGTTGTTGTTGTTGTAGGTAGTGGTGTTGTTGTAGGTGGTGGTGTTGTTATTGAAGGTGATGGTGTTGTAGGTGTTGTTGTAGGTGATGGTGTTGTAAGTGTTGTTGTAGGTGTTGTTGTATTTGTTGTTATGGAAGGTGGTATTGTTGTTGTAGGTGATGGTGCTGTTGTAAGTGGTGTTGTAGGTGATGGTGTTGCAGGTGTTGTTGTAGGTGATGGTGTTGTAGGTGTTGTAAGGGTTGTTGTTGGTGTAGGTAGTGTTGTTGTTGTAGGTGATGGTGTTGTAGGTGTTATTGTAAATAGTGGTGTTATTGTAGGTAATGGTGTTGTAGGTGGTGTTGTTGTAGTTGTTGTTGTAGGTGTTGTTGTTGTAGGTGTTGTTATAGATAGTGTTGTTGTAGGTGTTGTTGTAGGTAGTGTTGTTGTTGTAGGTGATGGTGTTGTAGGTGTTGTAAGGGTTGTTGTTGTTGTTGTAGGCAGTGTTGTTATTGTAGGTGATGGTGTTGTAGATGTTATTGTAAATAGTGGTGTTGTTGTAGGTAATGATGTTGTAGGTGGTGTTGTTGTAGTTGTTGTTGTAGGTGTTGTTGTACGTGTTGTTGTTGTAGGTGTAGTTGTTGTAGGTGTTGTTGTTGTAGGTGTTGTTGTTGTAGGTGTAGTTGTTGTAGGTGTTGTTGATGAAAGTGGTGTTGTTGTAGGTAGTGGTGTTGTTGTAGGCGGTGGTGTTGTTATTGAAGGTGTAGGTGATGGTGTTGTAGGTGTTGTTGTAGGTAGTGTTGTTGTTGTAGGTGGTGTTGTTGTAGGTGGTGTTGTTGTAGGTGATGGTGTTGTAGGTGTTGGTTTTGTTATTGAAGGTGTAGGCGATGGTGTTGTAGGTGTTGTTGTAGGTGATGGTGTTGTAGGTGATGGTGTTGTTGTAGGTAGTGGTGTTGTTGTAGGTGATGGTGTTGTAGGTGTTGTTGTAGGTGTTGTTGTATTTGTTGTTATGGAAGGTGGTATTGTTGTTGTAGGTGATGGTGTTGTAGGTGTTGTTGATGAAAGTGGTGTTGTTGTAGGTAGTGGTGTTGTTGTAGGTGATGGTGTTGTTGTAGGTGTTGTTGTAGGTGTTGTTGTATTTGTTGTTGTGGAAGGTGGTATTGTTGTTGTAGGTGATGGTGCTGTTGTAAGTGGTGTTGTAGGTGATGGTGTTGTAGGTGTTGTTGTAGGTAGTGTTGTTGTAGGTGATGGTGTTGTAGGTGTTGTAAGGGTTGTTGTTGGTGTAGGTAGTGTTGTTGTTGTAGGTGATGGTGTTGTAGGTGTTATTGTAAATAGTGGTGTTATAGTAGGTAATGGTGTTGTAGGTGGTGTTGTTGTAGTTGTTGTTGTAGGTGTTGTTGTATTTGTTGTTATGGAAGGTGGTATTGTTGTTGTAGGTGATGGTGCTGTTGTAAGTGGTGTTGTAGGTGATGGTGTTGCAGGTGTTGTTGTAGGTGATGGTGTTG